AGTTATACTTATTATAAAACCCAGGTTGGTTGTGTGTGTGTGTGTGTGTTGTGTTCGTTTATATATGGGTTCGGATTTCCTACATTTTTCAACCGATTTCAACAAAACTTCACTTTTTTTTTTGGCAGGTAGTGTTTCTTATTGTCTTGCATATTTTTTTTTTTTTTTTATTTTACATTCAGAATGCTTTAAAAATTCCATTTACAAGACAATTGTTTATAATAAAATTCTATTCAATCGGTAGACTCATAACGAAAAAAAATGTTTTTGTTTGGGTTTGACCAATTCGTATGATAGAAAAAAAAAAAAAAAAAAAAAAAAAAAAATTAATACATGCGTGTCCGTCAACCTTAAACAATAATCTTTGTCAATTTTATTTTTCAGTCTTTATGATGGTCGATACTTGATCTATCTCTTACTGTTACATCCCCGGGCAACGCTGGGCTCTACTGCTAGTCATCAATAAAATTAAATTATGTGCACTGCTAAATGTGATTATATTAGCCTTTTCCCTACATTCATTGACTGAGCAACCAATTATACTTTCGGTTTGAATTTGACATCTTCTTCTTAAAAAAATTTTTCAAGAAAATATGTTTCAAGTCCAGTAGCCGTTATCGCTCTTTCCAGTAATGATGTGTGGGGGTTCCTTCCTAACCTTTTATTTAGAGTATTGTGGAATGTCAGTTTGTGGATTACGTCATTTTCTCTTCGAGTTGCATGTGCTATCTATTTTAGTTGTTGCTGCTGTGGGCAGTCCTCAAGCGATGGGGTTTCTGTTATTTGCTACAGTACTTTGTGATTCTGTTGCGTCAGTAAAAAACAAAAAAAAAAAAAAAAAAAACCTTTACCAAGACTCTCGTGATTCACTCGATCAAAGCCATTTTTACCCACTGATCTTAGAGCAGTCAATTTACTTATGAATATATAAGTGTTTGTTATTGTCTGCTTGATGGCTATTTGCTCCAGAATCGCCTGCTGGAATAGGCATTGTTCCGGTAGGGTTGATTGGGAGAACATGTATAATGTTGAAAGACCCTGAACTTGTTTTAACTCCAAGTCAATAACATCACTGATGAGGCGATCCTGCGCACACATTGGGGCGTATCATAAACAAATAACTATTAAATCAAAGGTATGTTCACATGTACGTCATAGACAACACTACAAAACGCATATGTGTATCATGTGGTCGTAGATTGTAGCAAGTCTAGGAAGCAAATGTATTTCGACGTAATTCAATGCTCAAGTCACATAGATGAAGGTGGCATGGCGAATATCGAGACAAAGAAAAGAGTTCTAATTGCAGGCTGGTCTGTTGCGTTTACTTTCGGCCAAATACCCTTCGGAAAGACATTAAACCTTTTTCTCTTCCAGCTTTGGGTTAAATAGTAGGATAGATTAGACTTGCTAGCTTTGGTTCGCAACCAGCTTAAGAGAAAGATGTATTTCGAATGTTGAAGGCGGCAACGGGAAACCATTCGAATCCATTGAAGGCGAAAGGCAACGGAGAAACCATTCGACTGTCTTTTCCAGGAAGGTGCGGTAATGCAGATAAGAAAAAGGAATCTGTGAATAGGCATTAAAGGAAAATAGGCATTAAAAAAAAAACAACAAAAACAAACAAGTCAATTAATGTAGCAAACAAAAGATGATTGGCTTAAATGTTGATCCGAAAGAGGTTTTTACGTAGAAACTCATAGAAACTCATAAGATAAAGGATACTGAAAGGGGAAGAGAGAGCGAAGATTGAAATGCTTAATATAAATTTTCTAATACCGAATAAACAAAGTAATATGAAGAGTATGAGAGAGTCAAAGACCTTTACTATGATAGATTGGTACTTAACAGAAGATGGGGGAAGTCAGTTGTGTCAGAGACATTGTAATTTGAAAATGGAATAGACAAAAAGCAAGTCAACTGTTTTTGAGATACGCGAGCTTGAGATTTCAACATTTCCATGTTCACTAAAAAAACTGAACCTGTATCGAAGGAAATTTGTGTAAGCACCTGCTTTAACCTTAGAATGATAAATTCGTGTGTAAACATACGAATTTATATAACAAGTTCACTCTCACTAAACTTGGATACGTTTATAAAAACTATGATATTTAACAAGTTCATATCCACTTCCAGTGTAAGCTGTATGCGTTCGTGCCCAGGTAACAAATATAATTAATCTATATCTATCAATCAATCATATCTATATATCTATCAATCAATCATATCTATATATCTATCAATCAATCATATCTATATATCTATCAATCAATCATATCTATATATCTATCAATCAATCATATCTATATATCTATCAATCAATCATATCTATATATCTATCAATCAATCATATCTATAAATCATATATATATATAACTTGTCTGTAGTCGCGATATTCCTTTAGCAACATGGATGTTACGGTTACATCGTCCCTCCTCTCAGAGTGTGGGGGATTTAGCTATAGAGCAGGACCTACAAGGCAATTTGTTTGATTTTAGAGTTTTGTTCTGGTAGCCTTGGGTGGCAACCAATCAAGGAGAAGGAAACTGAATTCACCCAGTCTGTTCTGCTATTTTATTCATAGATCGTGAAAAGAGATGGATTCGTAATTTTCCCAAAGATTTTAGCAAGTCAATGAAAGTTATAAACTCGTCTAGAATTCGAACTTTGCACTCCGATTCCTCAAAACGCCCCCGCACCTTTCAATAGCAGCAACAAATAAAATGATTAACTCAGAGAAAATGATATAATTAAGATGCTGAAGTTCTACACTATTCAAGAAAAAAAGGTTAGAAATTCCTCCTCCTTCAATTCTGGAAAAGCGCGATAACAGGGGATTTGAGAAAGCCATTTTCTTGGAGAATTCTTTAACTAGAAAGTTCCTAAAAGTTCCTAAAAGTTTTTTGTAAATTTCAATCGACACTAGCACCGGTTGCTCAGTTAATGAATGGCCATTTTTTATACATAAGGAAACGGAGAAATATTAATTTTAGCAGGTGGGGGGGGGAGCCAGTTGTACTCGACCAGAGACGTATTTCAAAATTGGATTCGTAAACAAAAAACATGTCTGCGCTTTTTGACATATGCGAATTAAAATTTAACTTTTTCATGCTCAGCAAAACAATCTGCATAATCTATCTATCTCTAATTATCTATCTAAATATCTATCTATCTCTAATTATCTATCTAAATCTATCTAAATATCTATCTATCATCTAAATCTATCTAATTATCTATCTATCTATCTAAATATCATCTATCTATCTAACCTATATCTATCTAAATATTATCTATCTATCTAAATATTCATCTATCTATCTAAATATCTATCTATCTATCTAAATATCTATCTATCTATCTAAATATTCATCTATATATCTATCTATCTATATATCTATCTATCTATATATCTATTATATATCTATCTATCTATATCTATCTATATATCTATCTATATCTATCTATATATCTATTATCTATATCTCATCTATCTATATATCTATATCTATATATCTATCTATTATATATCTATCTATCTATCTATCATATCTAATATCTATATCTCATTTATCTATCTATCTCTCTAATTATCTATCTATCTCTCTTATTATCTATCTCTCTATTTATCTATCTATCTATCTATCTATCTATCTAATCTAATTATCTATCTATCTATCTCTCTAATTATCTATCTATCTATCTCTAATTATCTATCATCTATCTCTCTACCATTATCTATCTATTCTCTCTAATTATCTATCTATCTCTCTAATTATCTATCTATATCTATCTATCTATCTATCTATCTCTATCTATTATCTATCTCTCCAATTATCTATCTATCTATCATCTATCTAATTATCTATCTATCTCTCTCATCTATCTATCTAATTATCTATTATCTAATTATCTATCTATCTATCTCTCTAATTATCTATCTATCTATCTCTCTAATTATCTATCTATCTATCTCTCTAATTATCTATCTATCTATCTCTCTAATTATCTATCTATCTATCTCTCTAATTATCTATCTATCTATCTCTCTAATTATCTATCTATCTATCTCTAATTATCTATCTATCTATCTCTAATTATCTATCTATCTATCTCTAATTATCTATCTATCTATCTCTAATTATCTATCTATCTCTAATTATCTATCTATCTATCTCTAATTATCTATCTATCTATCTCTAATTATCTATCTATCTATCTCTCTCTCTAATTATCTATCTATCTATCTCTCTAATTATCTATCTATCTATCTCTCTAATTATCTATCTATCTCTAACTAGCTCACTATATCAGAGAGAGTCAGGCATAATTCGTGTGACAAGCTACGCATTTATATAGCGAGTTCAGTTTTATTCGACTGAACCTAGCTTGGACAATGTTTTGTAAACAAGTTATCCTTGATTGCAGACATCTCCTTCCAGTGTCAAAGGTCAACGTTCTAATCCAAGTAATATCTCAAATAATGAGGATTTAGAAGGATCTAAGAAGAGCTGGTGGAATAAACACAAAACTGTCACATTTACTCCAGAGTTGTATGAAATTGAAACTTATTGGCTGACCGGCATTGAAACTCTTTCAGCTTACCAGTGCCTTCCGACTTATCTAATTTAGATAAAATAATATTCAACAATAAATGAATTATTATCAAAACCGTGATCAACATTATGACCACGATCATTATCATAATAAAATAATTGCTTCCTTTGATAGAGTGATTTATTTTCTACGGTTTATCGCCCCTTTGCAGGTTATTTAAAGCCAGAAAATATTACATTGTAAGATTTTGTTTTCTGGGGATAATAGTTTAGTGATAAGTCTTAATTAACCCATAGTTGGGAGGAAAATAGGTGGATTCATTCGTTTTCCAGGGTGGGGGGAGGATATTTGAGCAAGTGTTTATAACGAATCCAACGGGAATTGGAACTCGGCTCTCCCTTTAACAATTCCGAGCTATTATCCATTACACCACCTGCACATCCTAGCTTACAGCCCCCGATATTCACAAGCGGGCATCCATCTAGGTACTGACTCGTCTCAACGTTGCTTAACTTCGATGATCCTACGGGAACCGGTATTTTTAAGCGATGTAGTCAAAGGCAGAAAGGAGTTGGGAGGGTTTGTACCAAACATTTTTTGCTAGAAGTGAAACTTAAGCAAATGATTAAATTTATCTTGTCTCAGTCCAAGACAATGTTATTGGGTTGAAGTATATAATCTGACTGAAACCCTTACTGCCATTAATTTTCGAAATGCATCTGAAAAAGAAATTCCGATGTTTTTTTTTTCACGATTATTAAATAGTGAAGTCATTTTTAATCATATCCTCCTCCCCCCCATCAAGGCAGTGAAGCCAGGGAGCGAAAACAGAAATAAAGACGACAGTAGAAAACGGTTGACAATGATGTTCAAAAATTTAAATGCAAAGTTGGCCGGAAAGCATGGAGCCGTAAGAGAGTTCCAAAAGCGAAAAGTACGTGAAAATAAACATCTAGCACACAACTTACAGTTACATCTAGCCAATTAAGCTGTGAATCGATGAGACCTAGCTGCCAATCTAGTACTGCGCTTAAATTCATAGAGTCTAGATACCACACAGAAGAGTTCATCCGAATAATTTTCATGAAAGCATTTATAGAAAAAGCACAACGGGAGCTACATTACGGAGATGAGAAAGTGACTGAAGCCGAAATGCCAGACCCGGACCAATAATATGGCTGATTTTGAATTTTGTGCGGGGGAAAAGAGCTATAGGTTTTATTCCATGAAATAAGACCAAGCAATTACCAAAAATGTGCATTTAAAATGCACCAAACCAAAATGTTTACAGTAGGTCATGCATCAATGAAAAAATGCTGCCTAAATACAAACAATTTAAATTACATGATCCAGCAGCCCACCAAACTATCAACACTTGGAATTATAATTGTAACCTTGTGAAAAGGCAAATTGAAATAGCCAAAGAAAAATCGAATACCCTTAACAGCAACAAACAAGATATCATATTGTTTTGTCAGTGTATTGTTTAATATATTGTAATTGTCATTTTTGATAATGGCTTATGTAAGTCGAAAGCTTAGATAGGATTAAAAAATGTGCATCAATATAGTGATTTTATTTCGTCTGTTGATGTTATTAAGCTTATACGAAAAGAATTTACATAAAATAAACAAAACTTGTCTATATTATATAATGATTATATATATGTTTGAAATGTTATATTACTAGATACTCGTGTTTGAAATAGACGTCCCGTTATTTTTTTTAAATAAAATTCTATTTTAAACAGTGTATATTACGTTTGTGGGTGGCCCTACTTAGCTTTGCCAAAACACCTGCTCTTTAAGTCTATAAAAAAGGCAAATACATTCTCTTTTTAGATCTTTTTTTATATAAACGCTTGCTTCCATATGGAGTTGACGTCAATAAAGAACGCTGCCGTATATTATATATATATATATATAAGGTCTTGTACACATCACAACCAGAGTGGTGATACCCGCAACATGACATCTCTCCCCAAACCTACAAATATCCCGCAGTACATCTGATATTCACACTCGAGAATACTTAAAATGTGCTCTCCCTTGATAGAATCCACCGTTTGATGCGACGTGCTTCGGCTCGCTCACCCATATATAGCGACAGGAAATATTTAAATATTTACACCCCCCCGGGCCACATTTTAACATCTAATTTAGTACACCGACCTTTTTGTGGCGCCGTATCTGTATTTGGTGAGGATTTATAGCTTGTCACGGTCGTTTAATGCCAACAAGCAATAATATTGCGATGGCGCAACGGTTGAATTGCTTGGGCATTGAAGCAATATTCTGGTATCACACTGCGTGATCAGACATGTTCATCGCCAACCAAGACTCTCAGTCATTGAATGCGTGGCTGAGAACAAAAAATCCCCTGTTGCTGTGTTCGGGCAGTTCAGCTGTTAATGCAGGAGCCGTGTCACTTCGACTCAAAGGCCGGAGTTTTCAATTAACGTTGCTAGCCTGACTCCTTTGTCGTTATTACTATGGCAGGGGATCCCACGAGATATATTCCTTAGCACAGACCTCCACAGCTAAGACCCGCCATGCCATGATAATGAGTAGTAAACCATCCCCATTTTTATTGTGTTCCTTGGATAAGAAACAAGTTCCACTCCCACGGCTTCTTCCCCATACATTTTGTATAATTATAAGAGTGTTCGCCAATTTCTTTTAGCAACTGTAAAACTCAGTTTTGTTTCTCTGAATTCTGTTCTTTTCCTTCTCCGTACTAAAATATTAACTCTTCCACTCTTAGTAAACCCTTGTGTTTTAGTGACATTGTCTCCTTGTTTGGGATGAAACGATAAAATCAAAATTATCAAGAGCTTCGAGATGCTAACCATTTCGATAAAAGCAGGTGTTCAAATATTATGGGATCAATTCTAAATAGATTATAGATTTCTTTCTCATATACACCAACACAGACTAATTTTAATATTGAAAATCTTATAAAATTACTCGAGTGTTCATACCTTAAAGAAAATGTATTCTCCATTAAGTCCTTATAAATATGCGAATGCTTTGTATGCGTTTGTTTAAGTATATAGTGTAATAGAGATAAAATGTCAACAAAAAAATAAAATAAATAAAATAAAGATGGTAAACGGAAGCAAAACATGATCAAATCTTATTTCTGCCAACTGTCTTTGCGATTTCATTACTTTCTGTTAACCTTTATCAAATTTATGCTTTAAACTAAATGTTAAGTAGGACAAATAATAAAATCACATTTAAAAAGTTTAGCCTAAAATTCGTTTTAATCAAGATTCGGCATTCAAAGTAAAACATTAAAAAACATTTTCACACAAAGCAAAAAAAACACACAAAGCAAAAACACACAAAACAAAAAAACACAACACAAAAAAACACAACACAAAAAAACACAACACAAAAAAACACAACACAAAAAAACACAACACAAAAAAACACAACACAAAAAAATTTAACATAAAAAAAACAACACAAAAAAAAACAAAAAAAACACAAAAACAAAAAAAAACAAAAAAAAACAACACAAAAACACAACACTAAACAATAAAAAAAACAACACAAAAATCAACACAAAAAAACAACAAAAAAAAAAAAACACAACACAAAAAAACACAAAACAAAAAAACACAACACAAAAAAACAAATAGAAATTCTCATTGATCAAGAAAAAAATTGCTAATAGTGATATATTGTTCAGTGGGGGCTTTTTGTCAAGTTAAATATTTGCATGAAATAAATGTTATAAACCGAAATACTTTGCTACGCGTTAATCACGTTAAGTCTTGAATCAACCATTTGATCAGATATAAACCTAAAGTTAAAATTTATTGCCATCAATTTTTTTGATGATTTAATAATTATAACTGAATAAATTATAAATTTCATCTAATACAAGAAAAAAAAATTATATATATATATATATATATATATATATATATATATATATATATATATTCGAGTTAACTCCTCCTTAATTTCCTAATTGTTCACTCGGGTACGCTCTCACTACACTAGAAATACTGGACAATTCTTGCCTCGTTCTCTTTTTCAGTGAACACATCTACAATGTAAGCTCCCGCAGAAGATTGCGTCTTCCCATTTGTGGGAGACACCATGAACATTCTACACACATACACGTAGGTACGAACATTGACCAACACACAAACTCTTTACGTTCACACACAAACACAAATGTTAATGTCTATGTCCATTGTAAAATGTTGTTATATATATATATATATATATATACACTGACACAAAAATATTTTTTTAAAATCCGGAATTTAATTCGTACCAGCCAACGAAAATGGACAAACATAAAAGGTCAATGACGTGAGGGGAAAGTACGAAATGTAATTAGACGAATAAAATGAGTAACGCATGAATGAAGATCGGAGAGATAGATTTAAATGTCTATAAATGCTATCTCTCTCTATTATATATAGATATATATATCTCCAGCCTTCCCTGACGATCGCTTAGGTGAAACCTAGGTACGTTTGTCTGGCTCACTAGGTTTATCTAGGTCTGCTCTACGGTTGTATTGAGCTCTTTTGTTAGTTAGTTGTTTACTCGTGTCGGGTTTTTTTTCTTTGGGCTTTAAACCTGTATCTGTGCGATTTTTTTCGACAGACTTTCATGTTTCTAGCTCTTTCTTTTTTTTAAAACCTTTTTTCCCCTCGAGATTGATTTGATTATTCGCAAATCAAAAATTCGAGGGTTTTTCGAAACGAGTATGGTTACCTATATTTGTGTATATATATCTTTTTATATCTGTGTGTATATATATATTTTATATATGTGTGTATATATATCTTATATATTATATATAATAACATTTAATAAATTTATTATAACTTTTTTATATCTGTGTATATATATATATATCTGTGTTTATATATCTTTTTATATCTGTGTGTATATATATATATATATATATATATTTTTTATATCTGTGTGTATATATATATATATATATATATTTTTATATCTGTGTGTGTATATATATATATATATATTTTTTTTATATCTGTGTATATATATATATTTATATCTGTGTTATATATATCTTTTTGTATATGTGTATATATATCTTTTTATATATATGTATATATATATATATATATATATATATTATATCTGTAAAAATGTATCTTTTATATATGTGTGTGTATATATATATCTGTGTGTATATATATCTTTTTTATATGTGTGTGTGTATATATATATATATATATATATATTTATATATGTTTGTATATATATATATATATATATATCAATTTTATATCTGTGTGTATATATATATATATATATATATATATATGTGTATATATATATATTTATATATATATATCTTTTTATATGTGTGTGTGTATATATTATATATAAATATATATCTTTTTATATCTGTGTGTGTTATAATATATATATTTTTATATCTGTGTGTGTATATATATATATATATATATATTATATATCTTTTATATATCTGTGTGTGTGTATATATATATATATATATCTGTGTGTGTGTATATATATATAT